GAAAATAAGACCTACCCCCAAAATAAGCCCTAGCAGGATTTCCATGTATTTGTTAAGCCCTACCCCGATGATAAGACCTAGTGATGGGCATGATACACTGCATAGCCACGCCATGAGTTTTGGTGTGGAATGAGACATCACCTGAAAATAAGTCCTAGTGTGTGTCTTCTTGGGAAAAAATAAATATGAGACAGTGTCTTACTTTCAGGGAAACATGGTAGATGGTCTCTGAATCCATCCAGGTAAATACAAAAGATGTAAAATCCCCATCTTTCTTTGTGGATGAACAGTATTTCATGGTATCCACATACCACAGTTTGTTAATCCATTCCTGAGTTGATGGGTAGGTGGGTTGTTTCCACATCTTGGCGATTGTAAATTGAGCTGCAGTAAACATTCTAGTGCAAATGTCCTTATGACAAAATGATTTTTTTCTTCTGGGCAGATGCCTAGTAATGGGGTTGTGGGATCAAATGGAAGGTCTACTTTTAGTTCTTTGAGGATTCTCCATACTTCTGCAATAGTCTATAAATGTTCCCTCCTCTCTGCACCCACCAGGCACTGGTATTTTTAAAGAGCCCTCCTGATGATGCCAATGTGCAGCCAAGATTGAGATATTCTTGTTCCAGGGGGTCAATTCTGGGTCATGAGGTGCTGGGGGAGGGCCTGGGCCAAGGGAGGCTGAAGGTTTAGAAAACTCTCTGGGATGTACTGATGGTTCAGTGGGTTTAGGGACCACTGGTGTGGGTAATAAAATGCCATCGCCATGATCATTATGACATCCTCCTCCACATAGGACATCATCATTCTCACCATGACATCATCATAGTAACATGACATCACCCTCATGCTGACATCATCATCATCACAGCTGACCCCATGGAGTCTGTACCATGCACCTGTGCTATTCTATGGGCCAGTCAGTTAACAAACACCTGATGGAAAGCTGCTATGCTCTAGGAACTGGGTGGTGACTCCCAGCCCTTGGTCTCTAGCTGACCCACAACTGAGCTGGTGAAATATGTAGCAAGTAGTTAGGACTGTGGCGATAAGCAAAGCCAGGCACAGAGGAGGAAACGAAGGCACAGACTGGTTAAGGTAATTGGACCTAGGGCATAGGAGAGAAGAGAATACCCTGGGAGTGAAATTCAGAACGGCCTGATCCTGAGACAATTCTCTCTTGACTCCTGCCAAAGTGTGAGTACAAAGTCAGCCTTTTGTCTGCTCTTGGGTTCAGAGCTTTGCTGTGACTTCCCTGTTTCATCTGGAAAAGTGCAAATGGAGCGAATTATTTATCAGGCCATGCTGAGGTGAGTGGTCCCCAAACCTACTGAACTATCAGCACCTCCCAGCGAGAACGCAGTGGCAAAATCAGTGATTAGTTTGTTGAAAAGAAAGCAGGTTTGCAAAGTGAGGCCACTTGCTATTAAAAGGGCGGTCTTTGCTGCCACTTGCTGGTCGTATGGTGGAACTGCATCAGGGGCTGGACCGGATTCTCACAGTATTAGTCAAAAGACGAGTTTGTTTTCTGCTCTCTGAGCTCCCAGCGTTGGGTTAAACACTAGCGG